AGAGAGAGCGACACCTAACTTATCCAAAATTTTAAAGTATTTTTCAGATGGAAATAAAGTGTTTTGAAGACAATTTTAGAGGTATTAGCCTAATCCCTGGAATTTTATATGAAGTGGCGGCCTAACTCTTGAATTATCGTTCCCAGTCTTGTGCCATCTTTTTCAATTTTAAGTTACTTTTACACTTTTTTTGTCTATAGTGCACACTTTTAAATTGACTTAAAAGTATTTCCTCAAAAGTCTTTAAACTTGAAGTTCATTTTCCATCCTTCGATAACTCACTTTATTTTCAGGTCTGGCTGCCCTAGTTGAACTTTACGTGAAGGCCATTTAACACCCCCCTGGAGTGATTCCGAATGTCCAGTCAGCCTGGGACATAATTGTAGCAGCCATGCATCTCTTGATGTTCATATGCGGATGGATGTTCACATCGGTAACATCAGTAGTGTAGTGTTTGCGGCGACCACAAATCTAGATTCTCAAGTTTAAACGGGGCGTCGCTCCAAGACGCGGTCAACGATGCGTTTGTGGACTATTCTACAGATGGAGATAACAAACCAAAGTTGACCGTTTGTACGAGTCTTTATTCTTGAAAGGAAATCGACCACGGTCCCCAATCATCGATGACTGATCACAATCAATCTCACTATCAATCAATCTATGGATCGTAAGCTGAAACAATCTATGAAATTTCGAGGAATACACAATCCAAGAATCGCATATAAAAAGCTGTGCCCCAACGCTAATAACGAGATTCAAATGACAAAGAACAACACAAATAAAACAGTGCAAACGTTTCGAAACAAAATACAAGAATTTTGGTGGCTGGTTAACAGCCCATTGTTCTTATCTAAATTGTGGCCGTTCACATGTATTTYGTACAATTTTGGCCTTTAAATCTTAAATCAATTGAGAATACCGCAATACAACGGAATATCTCTTCGTGCATTGTCGCCCAACACTGAAAAAACTAGGCCAGAATTAAACAAAGTTGCAAAGATACTGATATAACAGTTCTGCTTGTGCCAGCGCTTTAGAATAAAAAGAATTCTGACGAACTTTGTCAAAATACGTCCATTGTTTTCCCAGCATCAGTTTGTGTGAATGTATGAGAGTTTCGATATTCCTGAGATAGAATTCTAACAAAACCAACTCTAATTACTCCACTGATATTTTCGTATCTTTGTGATACATTTAAAAAGCTGCTGAGTAAAAGGTCCGAAATCGAACGCGGTGAAAATTATAAGTTGTGCAAAGGCATTTTCAGGCAAGAGAAATGCTTTCATGCAAGCTTGAAGAGTTCACAAGTGAAGTCGTGTCTCTGGCCCATCTGTGGATGGCTTCCAGGACCTACCAAGGCTTTTTGGGCCAGTTTTGAGTGGCAAAAGTCTCGATTGATGTGATATTTTGCTGGTAGGACTGGGTGGCCCAACACAATACTAATAATTTGTTAAAATGGAAATGTGAGGTGTTTCCTTCTCGAGTTGTGGTGGAATTTCCCTGAATTCTTTTCGGTCATAACCAAGGCAAAGGTTGTGTTTGCGACACCAGCTTTTGTCAAAAGGAAGAACAAGGGCTAGCAAATAAAGTGAGAAGGCATTTTCCAGCTAAACAGCAAGATCTGGCCCTGAGGTGTGTTTTGATTGCAAACTTTTGATTTCTTGAACAAGTTTTGATCTTAAAAGATCGACACTTTTTCAGTGTTGCTCTTGGAGCAGAATGCTGGAGTTTTGGGATTTGTTGTTATATGAATGGTTCACTGCAATGGAAATCGGGAATCATTGTGGGTGTTTTAGGCTGCAATAAGTGTCACATCAAACAGCCTTGCAATGTACACACTTACATAATGTCGTCTCTTAATTTCAACGAGAAACAACAACAGTAATAGTCGTAATTTCTACCACGTATGCGTGGCTTGCTGGTAAAGGGTTAAGTAGATTAACCATTTATTTAACAGTTAACATGCATGCACCATAAAAAAATAACAAGTGAGTTGTTCAGATATTAAGTTTAAATTGTAACTTTTTGTTTATTTGCTCCTAAACACATGGATTTGCAATTAAAACAGGCCCTCACTTCTAAGTCATTTGTCAAAAAAATAAAGCTCCACTAGTGCCAAAAAGAAAAATTACAGGTACTGTACATGATGAAAAAAGTTACAAACTAACAATTCATTCAAATATAAAAATTTTGCAAACACAATTTCAACAGAAAAACAATTGGATGAATACAATTCATGGAGACAAGGAGCAACATTGCACCTTGAGCTGGCTGAATATACCACTGAAAATTGAATGTTTGCAACTATAATGTTAGGGTTAGTAATGCTGGTAGGTAATCTACATGTATTTAACATTTTGGCAGTGTTCTTTATTACGAATACTGTAGACCTTGATGGGTGTCCTTTGCAAAAAGACAATTCTCAACATGCTATTTTAAGCATATAACCACCATAAACTATATATCAGTGGAAAGGTAACCAAAATTAATGCACTATTTGTCTTAGCTTGATTGAATTGTAAACCACCTGGGGTGCAACAATACAAAATGGACAACCTTTCTTCAAGCAAATTAATCACAAATCAAATCCCACTGCACAAGTAAAACTTCTGCACAATTTGAATCCTGAGGGGTTGGNGCGTCATACATGAGTATGAAACCTTGGACATCCAGTAAAACAATCTAATAAATGCATGTTCGCTTAGGTTAGCAGACAACAACCTTACCTCCGTAACTTTCCTCTCTACTCGACGACTGCAAATGCTCGTGTTTAATGAAACTGAGCTACAGCTGCTGTACAACTTCGACTTGGTGAGATGTACTTTACATAAAGAACTGTTTTACAAGTTCAGAGCCGAGCTGAAAGGAGGAAACACAAGGATTCTTTAGCTGAAACTTCGTTCCATCGGCCTGTTGATTCACAAGGAAACTGCCCAGCTAATGACATTGCACTTAGGCATGTCAGTCACGTGATAAGATAATCTTTTGCGCAAGACGGAAGTTGTGAATGTTCTAAAAATGTCTCACTGTTACTTGTGGTAGCAACAGTTTTGCCGAAAATTCCACAGATGACCCTTGAAGTCATAAAAAGAAAGAAAAATAGTCAGCGAAACACTGGAGTTAAAGCATTCCGTGACTCTCTGAGAACATGTTGAATATGCGCACCAAGGCACGGCCATAATAGCCAATTTCCGAATTCCCCTTGGCCTCATTTTCAAAACGAGTCCTGGTGCTCATCCTTTCATATGATTAAAAGTTTTCATTCACATGCAAATAGATCCGTCATCTGTTGCAGTATCTCAGAAAACCAATCAGTTATTCCACAAAACATGCGCTAACGTCTACATCACATTGGATAAAGCACATCAAGTTGGGCGAACTGAAACCAAGAGAACGGGAATCAGGCGATGCACCCTGTTGTCTGTACATATGTCCGGTTAAAATTAAACGGAAGCAAGAAAGAAAATACTGTAGCCCTTTGATAGTAATTTAATATAACAAGAAGCCGTGTGCGATTTACTGTGAAAGTTTGTTTGTTTTGTGTAGGTTGTTTTTAATTTTTTTTCTTTTTAATACAAAATGAAGAGGGAGGTCAACTTATTGTTTCTCACTTTTCAAACTTTTAGTTTGAAAGAGCACAGAGTTCCTACATCTTTAAGAAAAGCTAGTTTGGGGCGTGTAGTCAGACTTTTTTCGTTGTTATTTACGGGTAAATGGGTCTATAACAAGGGGGAGGTTATAAGTAGGGTGGGGGGCTTATCAGCCGCTATTTACACGCGGTAGGACATCTGCAGGATATTGATGATCACGCTCCGATTTAACGAGCAAACATTCGAGGCAATCATCCACCTTGGAGTTATCAATCAATTCAAAAGAAAATTCTTGTCTCAGGTTCATTTCCATTGAAAATTTCGCTGATCTTTAACAAATAAAAGTTTGGAAAAATTACTAATATGTCGA